TATATATATATTGAGTATTATCTATATATATATATATATATATGTGTGTGTTTAATTAGTTTTCAATGTGTTGCGCCAAAAATCTCTTGGAAGAGTTTCTGCGAAAACTAATTAATGACAGCATGAGGGCGTGCTAGTCAAGTTGCTGAAATTGACAAAGAAACTAGGTTTGAGAGAAAAAGTAAAGATCAGAGCGATTTGTGGGGACTGGATCAAAGTCACACCGAAGCATTTAAATCATCGATCCACTAGATTGACTTTCCAAAAGTGATAAAACAAGAACAGGGGGAAAAAGACAATTCAATTGCCGTCTTTTCTAAAATAAACAAGAGATTTTGTGTTTAACGTCAGTAGACGAGATTGAACAAGAGATTGTTGAAGAACGAGTAAGAACTCGTGATGAACAAGAGTAAAAAGGCGCGGAGCCAGAGATAAGATAAGCGTGGAGCTTAGTTTTTCCCCGGAGGAAGTTGTTGAGATGTGAGATCTCATTTCTGAAGCTTGGAACTGGTTCCTTTATATAAGGGGCGGCCTGGGCCTTGAAACTGGCGGGCTTTACTTGCTGAGGAAGGCATTTACTTGCTGAGGAAGTCATTTACTTGCTGAGGAAGGCGAACTCTTCTGATTGGTCGGAGGAAACTTCCAGGAAGCTGCAGTGGAGCTTCCTTCTCCTTCTAGATGCTGCAGCAGGTGATAGGAAGGTGAGGAGAAGGGTGTGAGGCGTCCCTCATAGCATATAGGTGACTTCCTCCTCATGGTACCTAGGTAGTATGAGGTGCTAGGTAGTATGAGGTGATAGGCTGCATCTGCTGTATCAGGTGTAGTTCCTGTTGCCTCCAATGAGTTAAAACTACTAAATTGGCTGAGAGGTGACCATGGAGCATGAGAGATATCACCTAGGCCACGAAATTCCTCATACTAGCCATATTTAGCCCTTCCAAGGACGAAAATACCCTTTTACTGAGAACTATGGCTATATCAGGGTGATAAAGCCACTTAGTCCTTAACTGAAGAAGGTGTAAAAGTTGCAAACGAACTTGGATTGAGCTCAAAATTCACCAACAGAGTTCGTATATCAGCCATAGACTATGGTTAAAATCTTGGCTTGTTCTGAGCCTTCCTTCATAGTAAACTGAGCTTCTCACCTCAAACTGTCCTTAAATGAAAAACTAGCATAAGTTTTTCATCCTAAGTCTGAATGAGCTGAAATTTTTCCAAGGAGCTTAGAATATCCACATAAGGTTATGGAAAAAATTCTAAGTAAAACCGAGCTCCCCTTGATGGTGAACTAGGTTTCTCTCCCTGAGTTGTCCTTAAATGAAAAACTAGGATACGTTTTTCATTTTAAGTCCAACGAAGCTGATTTTCCACCAGTACACTTAGATTATCACCATAAAGCTATGGGAAAAATCTAAGTAAAACCGAACTCTCTAGGATAGAGAAGTTGGTTTGACTCCTCAAACTGTCCTTAATTGAAAAACTAGCATAAGTTTTTCATACTAAGTCTGTTTGAGATGAAATCTCACCTAGATGACCTATGTGTATCAAGGAACATCATGGTAAAACCCCTTGATGGAGCCGCACCCCCTAAGTAGTAGTATTGCGTTTGACTTTGCCTTTTTGTCCTTAAATGAACAAAATGCAAGTTTGCCTCTCAGGGGAGTATTACTAGCAGGGACGGCTTGACCACTAGGGTGGTTATGTATAAGGGTGGTGAGTGATAATACCTCACACCTCCCTTAGTTCAGTAAGTGCTTCTCTTGTTGTTACTCTCTTACTCTCTGCCTCCTCAGTGCAAGGGATGAGGAGACTGCATCCTGTGACTATGATAGGCATAGAGCGGCCTTCCCTGGGTATGGGAAAGACTTAGATTATTTTATTCCATGATATATCTCCCACCTGCATGGTCAGGTAGCATACAACTCCCTTCTTTACTCTCTGCCTGAGGTATCAGGTTGCTGTATCTAAGGAAACTGCACCCTTGAGACTTGCTGCACCACATCCCTATAGGTAGGGGCGGCACATAGGGAGTAATTAATGATAATTATTCCAAAAATAATTATTATTAATTAATTTAATTATTAATTTTGGACTTTATTCATTAATTGCAAGATTTTTCTCCTAATTCTGATAGAATCAGGGTGGTATAGAGACTAAGTCCTATCAGGATTTCTGATCAAATCCTGACCACTCATCTTGATCTAATACATGCAAAGACCAATTTACCCTCAATTGTAAATTGAGGTATAAACACAATGATATTCCATTTCACCATAGGTGATAGAATAGCAAATCTCTGTACAGATTAACGACTAGTCTAATTATAGAAAATAGGTATACGACCCGCGCTTCGCTGCGGGGTCGAAAATTATATGAAGGGATTTTTATGGATCTTTGTTAATCAGACAATCGAAACCACAAAATATCGTAAGTCTTTTTTAGAATTGAAACATAAAAATTAGCTTTTGAGTTCTTTGTGAAAGTTGTAGATCATGAAATTACCTTTTAATAGACATATGAATTACATTAATTGGACAAATAGAACAAATTAAAAAAAAAAAAGTTAAAGCGTTAAATCGAGTAAGATAGAATTTGTAAAGGACAAAATATTATAAAATAAAAAAAGTATGAGGGTAATTTGATAAATAATCTAAATAAGAAAATGTTTGTTGATGGAGATCTTGAAACATAAAAATTCCCTTTTGAACCATTCATGAAACTTGCAGATCAAATTTAGCTTTTGGGTCTTTCATGAAAATCGTAGATCATGTAATAACCTTTTAACCAACACTTGAAAAACTTTAATTAGACATGTGGATCCAAAATTATATGTTATTAAATAGACCGGCAATCGAAACCGCCAAATTTGAGAAACTACTTTTTTTTAATTGAAACGTAAAAATTGACTTTTGAGTCATTAATGAAAGTAGCATAAAGTACTAAGTAGTATAAAGCATTAAAATAAATTTGAAGCGTTAAATCGATCAAGATAGAATCAGTAAAGGACTACGTAGTATAAAGTACTAAAATATGAGGATCATTTGAAAAATAATCCAAATAAGAAAATGTTTGTTGATTCCCTTTTGAGCCTTTCATGAAACTCGTAAATCAAATTTAGCTTTCGGGTCCTTCATGAAAGACGTAGATCATGTAATAATCTTCTAACTGACACTTTAATAACTTTAATCGGACATGTGGATCGAAAATTTTATGATATTAAATAAACAGTCAAACGAAACCACAAATTTTCGGAAGCACTTTCTTGATTGAAACATAAAAATTGGCTTGTGGGTCCTTCATGAAAGTTGTAAATCATGAAATCACCTTTTAATAAACACCTGAATTACCTTAATCGGAGAAATAGAAAAAAAAATTTAAAAAAAAATAGAGCCGAAACGTTAAATTGATTTGTAAAGGACTAAATAGCATGAAGTAAAAAAGTATGTGGGTAATTCAATAAATAATCCCAAAAAAATTGCATATTGGTGGAGATAGGGACCCATTAAGGGTAATTTTTTGCAAACTTCCAAAAATGCCCTTAGTCACCAATCTAAATAACAAAAAAACTAAGTATGAAATTACAAAAGTACCCCTCCCCATTTGCTCTTGGATTGATGAGATTAAATCTTTTGATTGGTTTTTTTGTAATTTCAAATCCTCCTATTATTGTTTTTTATACTGAGATAATCTTCCATAAACTTAAACATTTGTCAAGAAACTAGAAAGAAATGTTGAAAATGATAACCCAAAAATAGGGATAAAGTGGGGCTTTAAGATAAGATATTTCATGTCAAAGTTTTTTTTTTTTATTTTAAGAAAGGAGGATCAGGCCCTAATATAGGAAAACAAACCCCCACTACATCGGCCATCAACATGTTGATAATGCCAGCAGGGGGATGTGAAAAAGTAATAGCCCTTCCCACAGTTCTCTATTGTTTTTCGCTAGCCAATCTGCCACAAAATTCTTTTGTCTTGGGACATAATTAATTCTACAGTTCCAATCCTTGGTGATCATTTCTCTAATTGCTTCCACAACACAGAATAGAGGGTGGTTAAGACTGACGCCATTCTTGATCATGCTAATAGAGGTTGCCGAGTTAGATTCAACTTCCAATTCTCTAATACCCCTGTTCCATGCTAAAGATATCCCCTGTTGAATGGCCCAAAGCTCCGCCATGTCTATGGAGCACTTTCCGATTGCCTGCGAGAAACCAATAACCCATTCTCCACAATGTCCCCTGATCACACCTCCGATGGCAACATTGTCGGACGTCTGGTTCCGGCTACCATCCGTATTTAGCTTTGTCCATCCCTCGAGAGGTTTGTCCCAGCTTAGTTGCACCTCTACTTTTGCTTTCGTGCTACCACTTTGGGTCGAGAGCTCCAAAGTTTCCTGAATTGCTTTGTTGATGAGGACCATTTTTGTGTTGATGGAAGTGGATATGTTGGAGAGCCTGAAGTCATTTCTCCACTTCCATAATTTCCAATAAGTGATGGAGAACATAGTAAGCCATGGCCAGCACCCAAACATTTTCTTTCTCTGCTGAACCAAATTTAATTTCCACCACTCCTCTTCTGGACACGTAAAGAACAGAGAATTAACTCCAACCCCTAACAGCTGCAACCACACATCTTTGGCAACATGGCAATCCCGGAGAATGTGGATCATGCTTTCAATGGTAGCTCCACACATTTTGCAACAAGCATCATTGGTAAGACCCCTGGCCATTCTATTTGCATTATTCATGATCTTGTTCTTCCACGCAAGCCACAAGAAATTCTGGATTTTGGGCTGACATTTAATTTTCCAAATTTCCTTTGCTATAGTTTGTTGCTCCCCTCCCCTATCAACAATGGTATGATAAGCACTACTGGTAGTGAAGTCCCCATTGGAAGATTTGCTCCATATCAGCTTATTACACCTGGTTCTACAAATGTCAATAGGAACAGCAAGGATCTTCTTTACTATGTCAGGGTGTAGTATATTCTGGAATTTCTCGGGTCTTTAGCCTTCATCATCATAGTAAAAGTCCACAGTCCTGTCTGCTTCTTCCTCAGGAATAGGGTTAGTGGCCAACTTGATAAGTTCAACTTCAAGAAGCCATTTATCTTTCCAGAATTTCACCAAGCTTCTGTTCCCAATTCTCCATTTTAAACCTTTCACAAGAATATCCTTCCCTGCCCACAAACATTTCCAACCGTGGGACATGTTTCTATTTCTGGTAGTCGAGAGGAAATCACTGTCCTTCATGTATTTGTACCGAATAATTTGTGCCCACAACTTATCATTTTCTTCGATAAGTCTCCAACCATGTTTAGCAAGGAGGGCCAGATTCATATCTCTAACGGATCGCAGCCATAGTCCTCCCATTTCTTTTGGCGTGCAAACAACTTCCCAATTAACTAAATAAACCTTCCTTTTTCAGCCGTGCTTCCCCATAAGAAAGTTCTGCAGTATTTGTCAATCTCGTCACATACAGCAGTTGGAAGCTTACTAGTTTGCATTGTATATACTGGAACTGGAGCAGCAGCAGCCTTAATGAGCACTGTTCTACTAGTAAGTGACAAAGTATTAATTTTCCAATTGGCAAATTTCTCTTGCACTTTCTCCACAATACTCCAGTAGGTCTTTTTTGTTACTCTACTATGAATGAGAGGAACGCCTAAGTACTTTCCCAGGTCTTTGGTTAGGGGAATTTCAGCTCTTCTTGATAACTCCATGGCCTCTGACTTTCTAACATTCTTTGAAACATAGATTTTGGATTTGGCAAGGCTCACCGATTGACCAAACCACAAATTAAATTCCTTAAAGGTTTCCACCATAGTATCAACCTGTTTAATAGAAGCATCCAAGGATAAAACAAGATCATCAGCAAAGAAAACATAGGAAATGGGCCCTGTTTTACTTACTTTAACCGGTTTTCATTTTTTCTCCGCAATTTTGTGCTAAATGAGATGAGAAAATTTTTCCATTCCTAACACAAAGAGGTACGATGATAGCGGATCGTCTTGTCTTAGCCCCTTGGACGGTTTGAACTCCACTATATTTTCCCCATTCCATAAGATCTGGAAAGATGTAGAGCACATGCAATTCATGACTAGTGAAAGGAGATTACTGTTAAAGCCAATCTCCAATAGGATTTCCCTCATAAACTCCCAATTCATCTTGCCATAGACTTTCTCAAGATCGATCTTCCATGCAATGGCCCCTGCTTTCCCTTTTTTCTTTCTGAAGGTGTGAAACATCTCTTGCACAATAATAATATTATCAACAATTAGTCTTCCTGGGACAAAACTGTTTTGGGTGGGAGCAATCAATTTGGGAAGAAGAGGTTCCAATATGCTAACAATAATCTTAGAAATCACTTTATAAGCAACGTTGCACAAGCTTATCAGCCTCAACTGGTTGATGGTTTCAAGATGCTTGACTTTCGGTATGAGAGTAATCAAGGTTTTGTTAAGATCCTCGGGGAAGGTCCCTGTTACAAAAGCTTCTTGAACCTGTCTGATGACACTTGACCTTACAATTTCCCAATTCTTGTGAAAGAAATGATCTTGATATCCATCAGGGCCTGGGGCTTTGAAAGCTCCAATATCAAACATGGCCTCTTTTATCTCCTCTTCATTCACTAGTCTATGGAGATCTATCACCTCATAATCTTCAAGTTTTGAAAGTAACTGAGATATTGGGGTCCTACTTTCCTCGAGAGTCTTGGAGTACAAGTTTTTGTAGTGATTAACGGCCATGTGCTTGAGTTCTTGCTGGTCTGTTATCCATGCCCCGCTCTCATCTCTTAGTGCTCTGACTTTATTCTTACTTCTTCTCACAAGAGCAAGGGTGTGGAAATATCGCGTGTTTCTATCCCTTGATTGAATCCATTTGGTCATGGCTTTCTGAAACCATAGGATTTCTTCCTGTTTAAGAATTTCATTATACTGATTTTGGAGGTCCCTTTCCAAGTTATTAAGGAAAAGGTTATCCCCGTTGCATCTAGCTTTCTGAATACCACCAAGTCTGGCTAAAAGTCTTCTTTTCCTCTAGTAGATGTTACCAAAAGTCTCCATATTCCATTGAGCGAGACCAGCTGCCAAGTGCCCAAGTCTGTCATGTATTTGGCCCTCACTTTCTCCCATTCTGTTTTGAGGAATTCCTTAAACCTAGGATCGAGAAGCCAGGCGCTTTCAAAACGGAAAGGTTTAATTTGGCTTGGGGGAGGGGGAAATCCATCAGTGTCAAGCAGCAAGGGGCAGTGGTCAGATTTATCAAGTCTCGGTAGGTGCTTGACCACTGCATCAGGGAACATATTCTTCCAAGCAGCATTGCAGTACAATTTATCTAACCTTTCTTTTATTGATAGGAGGCTCTTTGGGGATTTATGCCATGTATATTTAGGCCCGATGAACCCCAAATCTAACCAGCTGCAGGCTTGAATGACTTCTTGCATCTTTCTACATTTGTGGCAATCGGTATCTCTGAAATTAGATGATGCAACGTGTTTTATGAAGTCTTTAGTTCAGTTTTTATTTCTGTTTTTTATTTTCTTATTTTAGTTAGTATTGGGCTTTATGGGCTGTTAGGCTTTTGGGTTAATTAGTTTTATGTCCTGTTATGTTTTAGCTTAAGTTTCTGTTAGGGTTTTAGCTTTAGTTTTAGTATAAATAGGCTCTTTAAGAGTTCCAAACGTAGGTTGTTATTTTTTAGAATTATGAATATTTAGTCAGTTTGACTATGGAGGTTTTGCGAAACCCTATCTATCCCTTTTCAATCTTATTCTATTCTAGCTTTTTTCTTGTGAGTGAATTCTTTTCTATTCCTTCCGCTACGTTAACTTGTATCAGTAGCCTTTAAGTTCCTGCGTGGAAACAATGGCAGCTCGTGGTAGAGGTAGAGGTAGAAATCAACAAACCAAGATGGCTGAGATGTGGAGAGCGATTGAAAGCTTGACCCAGACTGTAGAAGGCTTGCGGCAAGCTTTGCAGTGCCAGGAACCAATGGGAGTTCCAGATGGTGTTTGTAACCAGGAGGTTGGAGATCTTGTGGGTGAAGAAGATCTTGAGGATAACAATCCTTTTCATAACGCTGGAATCGCAGATCAAGTGGCACGAGGTGGATTGGAAGAGGAAGTCAATGATGAAAAGCCTTTTCATGAAACTGGAACCACAATCAAAGCGATAGGAGGTGGATTTGAGATGGATTGGTATGTGTTAGAACCTGTTTATGATGAGTATGAAGAGGAGGAAGATTCTGATCTCTTTGTTTGTGAAGGAGAACAATCTGATTTTGTTCTTGATGAAGGATTTGTTTGTGAAGGAGAAGATTCTAATCTTCTTCTTGATGGAGGAGTTCTTGATGAAGGAGTTCTTGATGGAGGAGTTCTTGAAGAAGGAGTTCTTGATGGAGGAGGAAGCATGGAGACCATTGTTTCAAAACAATGGATAGATATTGGATGGCTATTTGATCATGATATGAATCAAAAGAAGCCAAATAAGTACTTTTGTCCAAAAAACACTACTTATACTTTGCATAAGTTATCAGCAAAGAATATTGTAAAAGCTGGTGGATTTTTGGAGAAGCAAAATTCTATTGATCCATACATCTACAGAAAGTATGCTAGGACTCGATGGAAGAGGATAAGAAGAAAGATGACAAGAAGAAAGCAAGCTGAAGCTGGTCGATGTCTACAACTCGACAGAAGTCGAGTTTTTTTCAACCTGGGGGGAATGATGCAGCGTGTTTTATGAAGTCTTTAGTTTAATTTTTATTTCTATTTTTATTTTCTTATTTTAGTTAGTATTGGGCTTTATGGGTTGTTTAGGCTTTTGGGTTAATTAGTTTTATGTCCTGTTATGTTTTAGCTTAAGTTTCTGTTAGGGTTTTAGCTTTAGTTTTAATATAAATAGGCTCTTTAAGAGTTCCAAATGTAGGTTTTGAGAATTATGAATATTTAATTTTGACTATGGAGGTTTTGCGAAACCCTATCTGTCCCTTTTCAATCTTATTCTATTCTAGCTTTTTCTTGTGAGTGAATTCTTTTCTATTCCTTCCGCTACATTATTAGACTTCTCCGATGCAGTTGCTATTTCGTTGAAATCCCCTCCAATAACCCAGGGATCAGTACTGTTTTGTGCTCTCTGCTTCAGATTGTTCCATAATTGATCCCTGTTTTAGGGTGTTGGGCTTCCATATACTGTGGTAAAGTTCCATTGCTCATCCTTTCTCTTTACTTTGACTGTAATGGCTTGAAAACTAGTCTCTTCCACTATAACATTGACACTGCCACTATCCCACAATAGCCAAATGCCGCCCGAGAAGCCAAGGCCTTCGACAATTCTATGATCCGAGAACCTAATCCTTCTCACTATATCTTCTGCTCTGTCAGAACCCACTCTAGTTTCCATAATTCCAACAAGTACTGGTTTATGAACCCTTACCAGATCTTGAATACTTCTTAACAAATCACTCCCTCCAGCTCCTCTTACATTCCATAGTAGTATCTTCATGGGAAAAGAGCTTGAATAGAGGGGCGAATCAATGAACTCAACGTAGTCCCTCCCTTTCGACGACCCCACTCTCCCCAACCATTGGAATGGGACTGTCGTTGTCACTTCCAACAATAAGGGTGGTGGGTTCGGGGTCAATTGCACTTTCAGCACTAGACAATCCACAATTGCCGGTGGGAGAATCACTTTTGGTTGCTCCATTGTCGGCCCAATCCATGAGAAAATCGGAGGGTATGTTAATTTGGAGATCAGTATCTCCATCCGGGTCAAGGAGTGGCGTAGAGGAGGCGGTCAGATTAGGAGCGGATTGGGGTGGAGAAGTGCGGAGAGAAGGGGTGGGAGAAGACGTGATTAGGTTAAGGGAGAGATTGGTTTGGGGTTGCGGCGTAGAATTATTAAAGGGGGATCAAGTGGTAGGTAGGGAAACGGGTGTTTTAGGTTTGGTTTTAAATTTTTTAGTCAACTCAGGGGGTGAAGAAGAGGAAGCTCCTGCTGAAAAGACTATATCAGTTTGGGCTTTGGGGTTAAAAATGGGGGAGCACATGGTTTGGGCTAAAGGGGAACTAAGTGGACCAGTTATAGGTTGATGATTTGTGATATCTAGAAGGGCCTTGGATTTGGTAGTACCTGACTTGGGCTTCACCGAGGAAAGCTCGCCCATTTTGTGTAAGGTGAGTCTGACATTGGGCTTGGACTCGAGGAGGGCCTGCACGTGATTCTGACATCTTCCCTGAATCCTCTCCTGCTAGGTTCTCCAGTGGGGAAAACCTAGATCCGCCATTGTTCTGCATCTTGGGGTTCTGATGGTTCGGTTTGGTACCAATGTTCCTCCTTGGCTTCCTTTGGGCTACCATCTATGGCCCAAACTGAGCCTCCGATTTCTCGCTCACATGGATCTCATGTTTATCATTCCTTGTGGAGTTACCCAAAGATTCTTCTGTAACAGTTACAAAATCATTATGACATTCTTTAAGGAATCTCTGTTAGCAGTCAGAAGTTTTATATGGCCATAAATACCGCATTCAAAACAAATTTCATCCAACCCTTCATATTCGATTTTTTGCCAAATAGGTCCCATCATGATAGAACCCACAAGAGGTTTTCCTAATTCCACTTCCACGCACAGTCTCGCACACTTGCCTCTTGACTATTCTTCTGTCGGCTTGTCCATTTTCACAGTTTTACTTATGAGATTTCCAGCTTCCACAAGCTTGGATCTGCTGGAAGGCTCACCCAAACAGCTGTAGTTGTAATGGCAGCTTGGTGGGGTTTGAACAGCGGTTTCCATCGCCTGATAGTTAAATAATGGTCGGCCACAAGCCAAGGCCCTTCAGAGACTATCCGGTTATAATCATCTAGATTATTGACTCTCACCAGAAAAAACTCATTACCAAGATCCACAAGTGAGAAGCTTTCTTTAAGGTTCCAGATCTGGGTCAACCTATTCAGTAAAAAATTATAACCCACGATTTTCCCCAGCACTTTCACAATGAGCGTCCTTTTCCACGGTTGGCAGAGTTGTTGGTGCTCCTCTCTGGTAATTTTGACCTTGGGACAGTTGGGTAAATTGGGACTGTAGTGTTCCCAATCTTCTCCGTCCATGTCGACATCCAAAGGTTCCTCGTCCCCTAACACATCTTCCCAGGATAGATTTGGTTGGTAATTTTTGTTCAAAATTGCATCTTTGAAGCTTAGAGGAGTCTCCGACCTTGGGAGGGAGGATTTTGCTCCATTTCCCATTCCTAGAGCATTCTCTTCATTTCAGGTGCGTTTTGTTGCTGGGGAGCGTTCCAGCGAGCTGTTTGGGGGGTCCCCAAGCGGGACAACACCCTCCATGGAAGCAAAGATCTGGTTACTAACGTACGCGTGGACTTTTCTAAGTTGCGCCTGTAGAGCAAATTCTTTTTTCTAATTTAGTAAACGTTCATGTCAAAACCTGCTGCTGCCACCAATTTTTGTGTGCAGTGGGAGTCACCAAGTGATGGTACGGTGAAGCTAAATGTTGGGATAGACAGAAACAATCTTGTGTTGTGTGGTTGCCATCCCTACAACCTACTGTTCCATTAAAATAGCTGAATCATAACAAAAACATATTATATTATTATAGTAATTAATAATTAAAATAAAAGTTACTATAATAAGTCTCTAAAAAAGACTAATTGTTCAAATCGATTTGTAATGTTTACGAAAATGTTTAAATAAGGGCATAACTTTTATAATTTGGTTAATTAAATTTCCAACGTTACAAAATCGATGTTTACGAAAATGTTTAAATAAGGGCATAACTTTTATAATTTGGTTAATTAAATTTCCAACGTTACAAAATCGACTTAGATCAGTCCATAATGGCCGTTGATTCTAAAATTTTAAACTGATAAACCTAAAAATATTAGGGACTTAAATTAACTCTCACTCTAAAAACTGATTTGAGCTGATTTTGCAACATTAAGAACTTAATTAAATAAATGAAGGTTTTTTTTTTGGCAATCAAAATAAATGAAGGTTTAGCATATCACTCTCTCTTTAAAGTTATCTAGTAGTCAAATTTAAAGCCGCACCAAACTTTTAGTTGAAGATGACCCCAAAAAAAAGAGAAAAAAACACGTGACATGTTTTATCAATAGTACATTCAAACAAGTACTCCCCCGTTCCAAATTGAATGACTATTTTGTAAATGGCACGGAGTTTAAGGAAAAGTGGTATTTTTATGGATATTTTACAATTATATCCTGAAAAATGAGTATGAAGTGGTGGATCCCATTAAAAGTAATGTTTAAATGAAGGGTTGTATTATAAAAATGTT